AAATGGGGTGAGCCGGGATCGAACCAGCGACCTTCCGATTTTCCGAAGGTATATTTGAATATCTTCAGTCGAACGCGCTCCCAACTACGCCATCACCCCATTGGATGAAAGATCGAATGAAAATTGCCAACAAGAAAATGATTCATTGTCCGCTCTGTGTCAATATGCTTACTAATTTAACATCCGCACCATTCCTAATCCAGACTAGCGCGCTTCGCACTGGCAGCATAAAAGCAAATTTTCTCTCCGCCGATTTGATGCTTTTTTTCTTTTCTTCTTTGTACCAATTTACGCTCTCGATAGACAGTGCAAGGCTGCATTAGTCTTCTTCCTTTGGGGGGGAGGCTCCTATGACTCTCGTGGCATTCTGTCGCGGGGGTTGTCAGGTTAATTTTAATAGCTGAATCTTGCGATACAGAGGCGCGGAGACTACGATCGTTTTACAGCGAGGGTTCCATAAGAGCTGGCCGGGTATTTTACAGGTTATCCGGGCGGTGTCAGAGGAACCGTACATACTTTTTTTTTCTTTCTTGTTTATTTAATAATGCAATGTGATTGTTGAGAAGTCGTGGTATTCTAAACCCGTATCGTAAAAGTACATATACAGAGGGATGTCCGACAGCGTAGTAGTACAGTACATCCATAAAACATCATATCAAGAAGACAAAGAGACAACGGAACAACGCCATGATATGCTCCTGCGGCCAATTCCCAGTAATATCCTCCCAAAGAAAGCTTAGGCAATCGTCTTCACGCCCAAGGGTTCCAGTATCCGGTCCTGGGCCACCTTGTTGGCGAAATGTCCTCCTTTCTCCAGAGCAATGGCGCCAATAACCGCGTACATTGTGTGAGCCATGACGAGTTCGATTCCGGAGGCGGCGAGGTTGTTGGGCTGTACACGTTAGTTAGCAGGGAGCAACGCAAAAAGTTAAAAGGGAGGACAAACCTTCCGCGGCGACCACCTCAGAACATTCTGCATGTCGTACTTCTGCGCCAACTGCGCCAGCTTCGTCTTACCCGTGAGCAGCACCTTCGTGCTGTCGGACAGACTGTCCAGCCCCTCCAGCGCCGGATGAGCAAACAATTGTCGGCCATGGGGATCTTCCGCAACAGGACCAGCCGAGTTCGCCGGGTTCTGCACCAAAGCCAACGAGGTCTGCAACTGAACGATGCGCTTGCCTGCCGCAGAATACATATTAGCACCATGCCCGCAAAGCATCAGAGAAAGAGAATATAGCGATCACCCACCAACAAAAGCCAACCGATCATTAAATCCCCTCCGACCCTGATCATAACTCTTATGCGTAACAGCAAGCCACTTCACCTCCTCCGAAAGCACCGTCTCACCACCCTCGCCCAGCATCCGAATATAGAACTGATCCAACCGCTTCGGATCCGAGTTCACCAGATACTCGGGCCTTCGGGAATTATACCGCAGACTGAACGGCGCCTTTGCGCGGGGCGGGGTATGCGCCCATCGAGGCTTGTGTTCGGTCGTCGTTTCTGTCGATGTCGAGTATCCGCGGGTGGTGGTGGTGGTGTTGGTGGTGGTGGGTGGTGGGAGTTGTGCGGTGGAGAGGATGGCGCTGGGGCTGGTCAGGGTGCGGCATGCGGGCCTGGCTGCCCGGGTTAGGAGTGTGGAGGTCATGGCGAGAGTTGTGGAATGGGAGAACCGCGGGCAATTGAGCAATTCTGGATTGGGGGATTTTCTTGAGGCGCGGAGAGTGAAATCGAAGAATTTCGGACAAATGGCGCTAAACTGGATTTGGTTAGCGCTATCAAGGAGTACATCTTCGCATGTGGGCGTTTTCTTGTTTAGTTGGAAATATATAAACGATTTTCTACTATTATTACCACAGGGGTATATATAAATAAATTGGATCTAGTGAGTTCTGAATTACGAGGAGATTTTTCTTCTTTTCTTTTTTTTTTTTTTTTTTTTTTTTTTTTTT